GGAAGAACAAGGAATTCACTGAAAATCATAGGGCCCAGCTAACATGACAGTATGATAAAGAAGTCTCCTCTGCTTTAACTCCTACAAGGAAAATTGCATTCTGCTATTTGTTTGTTCCTACTCAAGCTGCCAGGGCCTAGCACTGGAATTCCTGGATCACAGAGTTCACATCTGTTCAGCTTTAGTGGCTAGTGCCTAATGGTTTTCTAAAGTGATAGTGTCAGTTTGTATCCTCATCAGGGTGTATGAAAGTTCAGTTGCTCTACATCGTTGTCAACATTTGCTACTACCTGCCTTTTTAATTTGAGGTGTAGTTATTGTCATCATGTTGTGGTTCTAATTTGCATTCCATGATGATAATATTTAGAAATTTTTCTACATTTGTCATTTGGGTATCCTTTTGTGATTGCCTATCAAGTCTTTACTCATTTTTCTTTTGAGTTGTCTGTCTTTTTTCTTATTATTATGAATTCTTTATATATTCTGGATATGAGTCTTATGGATGAATCACAAAAACTTTCTTCTCAGGGGCTTGCCTTTTTTGTAGTTTTTTTTCTTTTTTTTCCTGCATTTTTTATTACCATATATTAATTGTACAAAAGGGTCTCATTGTGATATTTTCATTCATGCATATAATGTACTTGGATAAAATTCACCCTTCTATTACTCTTCATTATCCCCCCTTATGAACCATTTTAATGTGTTTCATTATTTTACTTTCATACATGGATATAAAGTACTTTGATCCTATTCACTCCCATTCACCCTTTCCTTTCATCCTCCCTGCCCCCCCACCAGTTTTCAACTTCAAGCAGTCCCTCTTTTGGACTCATGTCATTTTTTTTAAGGTCTAGAAAGACAAATATTGCATGCTCTCTGTCATATCAGGATTGCTTTTTTATACTCTTAATAATGTTGTTTGATGTACATTATTTTAATTTAGTTAAATGTTTCACTTTTTTACTGGCAGTAGCACTTTTGTGTCTCATTTAATAACTGACTATCAGCCTACTCAAAGGTCAGGAGGATACTCTTTTAGTGCTTTGGGTTTTTTTTTTCTTTTTTCTGAAAGCTTTATTGACTTATCTTTCATGGAATTGTAGACATTATTTTGAAGATAAGGCTGACAGGATTCCTATTGGCTTGGAAAGGCTGCTTAAGGGAAAGACATCAATTGAAGAATATATGGAACACCACTTTCCCTCATCTGCCTTAATTAAACAATAACTTTATTATTTAAAAACTACAATATAAAAATAAGACACTAGATTGTAAGTAACTTGAGATAAGGACCAGACTTCACGAACTTTATATATACAAGTTCCAAGATAGTGACTGGGACTACCTGAGCATTCAATAAACATTAGCAAACACATACTCATTTTAGAGGATTTGGTAAGTACACAAGACATAAAACAAGAAAAATCATCATATTCTCATTATCCAGAAGAGCACACATTTTGATATTTTCCTTATATTTCCTGATTTTTTTCTCTAAACAGGATTGTGATAATATTATGCACATAATTTTGCACGCCAAATTTTTGCTTACCATATGACAGAAAAATCACTGTAAACATAACTTTTAGTGCCTTCATAAAATCTGATGAAATGGATGTTGTATAATTTGCTAACCATTTCATTAATGTTGTACATTTGTTTCCTTTATGCTATTATCAAGCTGTTATGCACATCTTTTGTGCAGATCTTTATCTATGTCTCTTTTATTTCCTTAAGATAGAATATTAGAAGTGGAATTACTATTAAATTGATTTTTTGAGAGACAGCCCCAATTTATACTCTCCATTAATATATATGAAAAACCCATTTTATAACATTTTTGCCTGTATTAAATATTATTCTAATATAATAAGACTAAACATTCTTCCTATATCTAGTAGCCCATATGTATTTTCTCCTTTGGAAAGATATGTGCATGTCATTTTGAAAATTGGTCTATTTAGATTCTTCATGTTGTTAAGTTGATTTTTAATAGTAGGTGATTTACTATAGATTTTCCATTTGTGGTATGTTAAAAACTTTCATACATGATGTTTATTTTTACTATTGTATATGAAATTATGTTTATGAAGATAATCTATCAGATTTTTTTCTTCTTTCTTCCTTTCTTCCCTCTCTCCCTTCTTCCCTCCTTTCTTTCTTTCCTCCCTTCCTCCTTTCCTCCCTTCTCTCTCCTCTCTCTTTTCCTTCTCTTTTCCTTTTTCCTGTTTAAAACTAAGAAACCAGAAATTTACCACATTCACCTCTGCTTTCCTCTGTTCTGTTCTATGCTCAGGGAGACCGACCCTCTTTATGCTAAATTCCTTAGAGCTCTGTTTTTGGAAGGCTTGGCCAATTACAGACATAGGCAGGAGATTCCAGAAGAAGGAGACAGAGGCACCTTCTTGCTTGTCCTGATGCTGGTAACGCTGAGCTTCTCCACAGCTAAGTTCCCTTCAGGTGGCTCTTCTCTCCTGGTTCCAGCTCTCCTGGGACTCTGCTAACCTTTTCTTCCCTTGCTCATTTAGGCCTAGGGGTAGTAAAGGCTCCCTGATAATACTAGTCCTTGGGTGCTTACCAACCTTTGTTTATTGACTTAATCTTGCCCATAGCTTTGGCTTTGTAAATGCCTCTTCAGCAAATATCTTCAGTAAAACTCTTTCAAATATACCACCTATTTCTTGCTGAGACCCTGGCTGAAACAATTTAACTATATTATCTTCTAACTTCCAGGAAAGCACTCTAAAGGAAAATTATGATACATTCTACACTCATAGAGTGGTAGAAATTAACCACTTAAAATACTTGGGCTAAGGGTATGTCAAACGAAAATATTTTGTAATTTATGACTTTTGGGGCATGATAAAGAATATTTCAGTGTTGATAATAAAACACCTTTTACCACTAACATGGTCTCTATTACCAATATTATAGTTAATGGTAAACATGTTCACCTTGACATTTGATGCCTCAAACCTTAACCTCCTGCCAGAAGTTTGTTGTTCACAGCTAATTACAAACCATTGCAAATATCCTGATTTGCCAACATATATAAAGGATTTTAACTCAGGGACAGTTGAAGTCAGGAGGCCAATTTTCATTGTAACTGGTTAAGCTCTTTTTTAAGGGGAACTACACTTGATTTACTTATCAGTGCTTTTATCTTTTATGTTGAATTCCAAGAATGTAAAGAAACTTCATATATCAATTCAACTCTTAACATCAAGCCATCTAGCTCGGTGGGTACACAATGATAACAGAATCTTAGCCAGAATAACTGGTTCTTCTTTCTCAAAATGGTTCTAGAAATAGTGCTGAAAGACCCATTTTCCCTAAATTATTCTCATAGCAAGCTAGTCACAGTCTGAAATTTTATCATTCACAAGTCATTTCTTTCATGTAAAAGCATCACAAAATCAGTCTTGTTTCACTTCACTTGGAATAAATTGAATGTTCACTTGGACTCTATAGATACAGAAGTCATTAAGCCTGGAAGTACGGTTTCAGAAATAGTTTTGGCAAACAATAAATCTAGAGTTTATCAGTGACAGATTTCAGCAGTTACATCTATGTGGGATTTCCCTGGGGAAACACTTTTTTTATCCTGAGCTGCATCTCCAGAGACAGAAAAATTTGGGTTTGAATCCTGGTTCTGACATCTGTATGACCTTAGTCAAGTTATTTGAATTCTCAAAGCGTCTGTTTTCCTGAAAAATGAGAATAATTGTACTTGGCTTAAAGGACTATTAAAAAAAATTAAATTAGATAATAGAGAGTACTTAACATAATACCTAGTACATGTATTGCTAAAACCCAAAACTATAGTATTTGGGGGTGTCTATGAGTAGTGTGTGTGTGTGTGTGTGTGTGTGTGTGTGTGTGTGTGTGGTGTGTGGACTGAGCCTAGGTTTTGCTCATGGTAAGTGTATACTCTATCACTGAGTTGTACTTCCGGCCCTGGTGACTTTCTATAGTTCAAACATATCAGGATAGTACTAAGTCAAAAACATCTCTGTGGCTAGTAAAGTATACTTTGCTTTTCTTAGCAGTGGGTAAAATAAAACAAAAAAAAAACTTAAAGGAGTATTAAGGATGCCAAAGGTCTTTCAGGCAATAATTTTTTGAAAAATCAATATAAATTGTGGAATTCTTTATCTACTTTACAGGGCTAAATATTTAGAGATTTGTCTTTGGAAATGAACAAAAATCTGTATTTTGGATCATTAGTCTAGTATCAAGGCATTACTTATTTATTTTTTTGGAAGCAGGATTTTATCATTTAACCCAGGTTGACGTCAAGGCCTCAAATTTAGTATTTGCTTGCCTCAGCCTCTTAAGTGCTGAGATTACTGGGGTGTACCACCATGCCTGACTACATTTTCCTACTCTTAATCTTATGTAAGGATTGTATAAAAATAAAAGGTACCAAAGAAATGGCTTTCTCTATGTTATCCTTCCATCACTACAGACAGTATTTTGATAAAAATTTAGTATTATGCTAGTTTACATTCATATGTTTATGGAGAGTGCTAATTGTTATCTGAATACAAAATTTAACAGGTGAATTACATCTATTGCCATGCATAGCTGATTTTTGAATGTCAACAGACTGAAATTAGAAAACATTGGTGTTTTGAGCATGTTCTCATTTAGTATGAGAAATTTATCTTTATGTTTCCCAAATTGTGTGGGACCCTAATAGTCAACGCATTAAGTGGTGCTGAAAAGAGAAGAATATAAAGATACCCAAAGTTTCTAGATATAATAAAACTTAATTGATCATGACTTTGTTTTGTTCCTAGTGAATATGAAAATAACCAAGGCTCTTTATTTATTTATTTTTTTAAACAGGAGCAGGTTATTAGGCTTTGGTGATTAAATAGGCGATCCTGCCATCTTGGGGGAAGATTTCATGCTAGAAGGGCTTTACAGTAACAGAAAGGTCCAAATTGGTAGCCCGCTACCAACATTTGGAATGAGTCAGGTCCCTCTTCTCTCACCAACAATCAGGGAAAGTTCTCTAATCCCTGTGGTCTCCCTGTCTCTGTAATCATAAAGAAAAATCTGTCCAGGAAAAATGACAACGTTTTCTTTTCGGGTTCCTGCTGCTACTGTCTCCTTGCCACTCCTTCCCAGAGGCCAGAGTAAAAGCGTATTTAACTGTGCAGAAATGACTGCAGCTGGCTTTTCATAAAACATTATGACTTCCTTGCAGTCATGTGAAATCTCTGCTGCATTACAAACTTGCTACTCACTCCTCTCTTTATCTGAAGGTCCTGTGAACCTAAAATGACATTCAATTGTTTCTATAGCAACAAGTTCTAACCACAGGCTTAGAAAAATAAATACTTCTAAATGTAGAGACTGTTTTCTGAATAAATAAAAGATTAGTTTAATCAAGCAGTACTTATTGAAGGCCTACTATGCATCCAGGGTGATGTTGCCCACTATAAAATATCTTTCAACCAAATACTTAGCAGATTATAGATTTGGGACTGAGATGTAAAATAATTTCACCCCAATTACTGTTATCTTTTTATCTTCAGGGTCCTTCTCTTTTGGGTTTCAGAATCTAGGTGGAATTGGCTTTCCCATTGTCATTTCAGAACTTACACAGTAACTTTGGAAACCACAATAATATAGTTGGAAAATTGTTGCCTAATTTCCATGCATTCTAAACTTTTTGGACCATTACGCCATCGTTCTTTTTGTAGGAAAAGTGCTGAGTTTATGATGGCAAAGAACATGAAAATAAAGCATTGTTGTGTGCTTTATACAAAATGTCACAGAATATCATGCATATTTTATAGCCACTCTTCCCAGCCTATCCATTTAATCACTTTATGGCCATGTCGTTCACAAGCAATACACTTATTCTAAAATTCATAACAATAAAAACTTTATTACATGTCACTTCATATTTTTATACAGATTTTTTTATATTTATGGCTAGAGTTACTTTATATTGAGCCAATGACTTGGAGAATTAATATTCTAATTCAGAACTTTTATAGTTTTAGAAATTGTAAAGCAATGTTTGCAAAGAGCTGGAATCTGTGGTATTGAGGCAAAATGTCAGAATCTGGTGGTGTAAACTCTAGGACACTCAAAAATATGCTCATCTTGTACTTTGTAGATCTGTTAGCTTCTCCTGTTTACACAATAATAACTCTCCTCCCCACAATGCTTAGCTAAAGCCAAAGCAAATAAACTAAACTGGGGAATAAATATTATAAGTGGAACTAGCTTTTATCTATTAAAAGCCTACAGCATTTTACTTATGTTAAAATCATTATACTTTCATAAGTAACAAAAATCTCAATTTGATGAAAAGCACAATTATACTGTTCTTATTTTGTTGTCTGTTTTGTTTCCATTTTACTCATGCTTTTGAACCATAAATGTTTACTGCCAGCTATCAATTATTTCTCATCTGACCTTTATAACCCTGCACGTGTTCAATGGCAACAACACAGGTTATCTTTAACAGGGCACTTGAAATTCTGAGCCTCAGCAAAAGACAGTGTATATGAGCATAAATAAGTATTTAACAATATAATGTGATACACATATTTCCTCTCACTGAACTTCAGTTTCCCTCTGTTAAGTAGTGGTATGACCTAGATGACAGTGCTGGTATGAAGATTAGAAGATTAGAAATATTACACAAGTATAATAAATGTAATGTAATGTGATATGAAATGGTATAATATGATATGATTAATATAATATAAAATAAAAATCTATACCTGGCACAATATAGTGTCAAACAAAAAAAAAAAACAATTCTAGTTGTTTCAAAGAAAGAGTTGACTGAGATAGCCTTAACCGGTGGAGTAGGAACAATTATTAAGAGGAGGTTGGAGATTCAGTTTTGAGAGACAGAGAGGAAGAAAATGAAGAGCACTGGAAAGATGTACAGTTTCATAGCTTCAAGGTGTTTGCTTCTGGATTTATAACTTAACCTTGGTTAACTACTATGTAATGAAAAAGTTCTTACTATTAACCAGGTATCTGTTCTTTATCAGAGTTTGTATATAGTTTGACTGTAGCCTGGAACATAGTAAGTAGTTTTCTTCCTTCTTATAGTATATTCCAGAACTATGGTCTACCATTTATAGAGGCAGAAACATAATTTCTTCTTTTTGCTTTCCTGCTGTAACACATCGCACTTTGCACAACTGTTTACTCTTTGCTTGCAGATAAATGCGTACATCTGCTAGGGCGTGATCTCTAGGGTGGGATGACAAATGGATGTTATTCCATTATTTAAAGATCAAATCCCAAAGATCAAAGAAGGGATAAATAGGTCTTCTTAAGGATATTAAAATGGAGCTAGTCTCATCGATCGCAAGGCTGATCTTTTCAACACATCACATCTAGTTTCACCCTCAGTTATGAATATCTCACATTGATTATTTTTACACCCACCTCCTGGCATTCATTCCCCCAGCTTAGGTAGCAAATGAGCTATCTTGGTTCGATGGCTATCTAATGGTTCACTCTTGCCACCTCCTTCCCTCTACTACAAAACCAAATCACCTTCTCCACACTTGTCCTTTTCACCCAAAGTTTTCTCAGTTAACAGCTTCACTGTTCAATCTCCTAACTAAAAGTGTATGGATCCTTTTTAAATTACTCTCTCTCTCTCTCTCTCTCTTTCTCATTTCTTATCCTGTTCACATGGGATGAACTCTTCTTAGCTCACCAAATTTTGCCTTCTCTTCCTTTTCTCTTTTATTCCATTTATGGACAAGAATCTTAAACACTACTACCACAAAAAAATAATCCTTGCCTTGAAAGGAATAGAACCCCTCTGCAAATACATTGAAAATGGCCTTAATACTTGGTGATGCAGGGATAAGAAAAGCTACATATTTTTAAAGTAAAATTAGAAAAAGACTTCAATTTATAAGAGTTCCCTTAAATCCACTTCAAAATCCTACAAAAGATTCCATGAATCTCTCTATTTGGCTTTTTCTCAGTAACTAGTATCCAATATAAATAGAAACTTTGCTTTGACTTAATTGTATTGTTCTCTATTTTATTTGTGCAAATGGACACAAATGGAACTTTTCTATCTTATTACTGATAAATAAGCTTTTGTGGGCACATTTGAGATAGATGAGGACATCGTTTCTATGGAAATATGCATCATCCCTAATTTGAAACAACTAGGTTACCAAAAGAGAGTTCATAAACTGAGAGTTGCCTGGAATGGCAACTGATTTACACGCTAGTTTCTCACTCAGCAACAACTTCACTGTGCTAGCTTCTCTTTTTGCATAAAGATTCAGAGGTATGTGCAAAAGAAGAGAATCAGAATAAGGCATTCCATAAAAAAACTAATTCACCTCTATTTCACATAATGCATATTGAGAAATTGAATTGAATGATGCAGTAAATCAAATATTTATTTCTTATATGCAATATAGATAAGCCAATGTCTCATGAGGAATTTAACTTCTTAATTTGCAAACTTGGTGTTTCTATTTCATTAGCAATTGCAAATGAATAATCTATTATTCTCTTGCAAAAGTCAAAATGATATGGTGGGAAAAGCAACTTCACCTTATTACTCTAGCAAGGCTGGAAAAAAGCTTTCACTCTTCATTATTTTTCGCTAGTCATGGAATTCTTAGCTTTATTTCTAAGGTGGCAGGTACCAAAATCATAGATTATGATGTATATGTAGTAATCCAATTGTATATGTATATGTAGCTATCCAATTGTGTGAAATATATCAACATCTTCTGCTACATACTATGCAGTTAACTGCACAATTAACATTACATAAATGTCACACTATACTAATTAAACATAAGCTCACTCACATTGACAGTATTAAAAGATACCAGATGGCTTTGGTAATGAATTTAAAACTCAATAAACATTAAAAAAATTTTCTGTTATAATCATGTCAGTAAAAATATTACCCAATAAGGTATGTACTTGATATATAAAAAAAATTAAAATTCAACTTCACTCAGAAATATCAGCCTGTTCATTACAAAACATTTATTAAACTTAATGAAATCTTTTATACACAAAAATTCTTTTTCCATAAAATAATATTTTTATGACTTATTTAAGTCCGAAAAGATAAGCCATATGTGAACTTCTTCCTTTCCTACATTTAATTAAAAATATTCTTTAAAAAGTTTATCAGATAGCATATATTCTCTGAGCTTTTGCACCCTTCCCCACTACACTACACACATGCACACAGAGAAACCCTTATTGTCATTCTTTTTAAATCTTATTCATTCAACTCACAGTAGAAGACAACTAAGCTACAGGAAAACAAATGTTCAGTCGAGTATATGCTCTCATGTTGAAGAGTGAGTTAAGGAAAGGGAATTTCTGGTTCTGTTTATTTAAATGTGAAAGTAGGTTATGATTTAAGCAGAGTGTACAAAATAAATAATTGTTTTTTATTCTAATGAGATGGACAATTTTAATAACATAAGCAAAAAGAAATTCCACCAAGACCAAGGTGTTTATTTTTTAATAGGGGAATATAATACTTTCAGTCTGATGTTTTTGTTATCTTCTTTTTTATCCTTCCTTACTCAACCAAAGAATGACTAAAACTGAGAAGAGTTATCAATCTGAGATGTCATGAATGATTTGTAATTATTTGATTTGCATCTTCCTGATAAGCAGTGTAGCACACAGATGTTCCTAAAATGACTGCAACAACACTCCCCATCCCAAATCTCTTCTTTTCTTTTTTTCCAAATCTCTTTTTAAATGAGTGTTTGACGTCCTTTTTATCAAGAGGCAAGTACTATATGCCCTTGCTTTGAACCTAGGAGGGCTTGTGACTAAGGCAGAACTGGCAGTATGTGACTTTTGAGCTAGGTCATAAAAGATGATACAACTTAAACGTGGTTCTTTTGAGAGACTCAGTCTTGGAATCTAGCCACCATGTTCTGCAGAATCTCAGGCCATTTGCAGAGGCTGGCCAACAGATCCAGCCCACACCAGCATCAAATCACAAATCTGTAAGTGAAGATGCCTCTGGACGACATCAGCACCCAGCTGTTGAGTCACCAGTCAGCTTTTTAGTCTCTCCAGCTGAGACTCAGACATTTTGGAGTAGAAACAAAGCTGTCCATATTGTAACCCATCCAAATTACTAAGCCTGAATTCTTGACATAATGGAATGGTTGCTTTGTCAAAATTTGCTAAATTTT